ACATGATGTCGACTCTTACTTATGGACGCAAACGTATTTGGGAAAATAAGTTTTTCATTCCTTACATGCACGATTTCAAGTCTTAAGTGCTTGTGGTTTTAATTACGTCTTATTACACGCTCAAACCTTGCTTTCATCTTGAAGCCATGGTGGTCTCATTTGTTGTCCTTGCATGTCTCCTGTGTTCACTTGCATAGCTCACTGTAGAAAGCAGACCCAACTCCCAGTGAACTGTCGTCCCCGACACTTCACCTCAGTTTTTCTTGACACTTAAGCTAACCTTCATGCCTATTTGGAGATCTGTCAGTATCGACAAATATCCACAGATCATTTGTCGGTACCGACAGTTGAAGTCAGTTTTTCTCGACAGTTCACTGTGTCCATGCATGAGTTTGCTTCATTAAATTGCTATTTATGATACAATATATTTATGATTATCATGTAACCCCAGTGGATTTTATGAATGCACCTTGCAGGACAGAGGACAGATGGAGTTTGATTTTTGTATTCCGGAAGATGCAAGGTTGCGAGCCCACATTTCGTAACAAAGCAACCTGAAGTACGTAAAGACCGTGATGGACCATTTCAATGATCGGCAACGCGAGGACTTTCGCAACTCTCCCTTTGGGTATCTGGCCGAGGTTCCAGAAATTCAATTCTCTGCCCAGCTCATCCAGCAGCAAGTGTTCAAAACCATTCACACTGATAAGGTTAACGAGTTTTGGTTCAACGTGCAAGGCAACCTGATGAGATTCGGCCTACAGGAATACACTCTTGTGACGGGGTTAAGATGCAGTGTATTTCCAGAGGGTGATGACTTCGATCGAGTGTTGGAGAGGTGAAGGTTGAAAGAGAGGTATTTCAAATCCCTGGACAAGATTTCGTTGGCGCAACTCCAAACTACTTTTGCCTGCCCTTCAACGACCTGAGCCAATTGCTACAAGCTAGGGCTGGTTCTAATAGTCGAAGGAGTTTTCAATGCCCCCGATAATAATGTTGGTATCCAATGGCTTACATTATCTATTGTAGACAATCTAGACTTATTTTTTGCCTACCCTTGGGGTAGAATCGGTTATCGGCGTTTGTTGCATGGATTCCGAGGTTTTTGGACAAAAAAAATTCAAAAGGCGAAGAAGAGGCAGGAGAAGGAGATTACGTACGCGATTCACGGCTTTCCCATTGCCATGCAGGTACAGATGTTTTAAATATTATTGTATCATGCTTGATTTGTTTGCCCTCCTGTAGCATCGTGCCTACAATCTCAGTTATTTTTATTGTATTTGTCTTTTTGCAACAGGTATGGGCCTACGAGGCAAGTCCTGAGATTGGGGAACGTTTTGGTCAGCGAGTTGGTGAACGAATACCACGATTGCTTAGCTGGTCCGCACAAAAACAACCACAGCATCATACATACGATGCATTCTTCAAGAACATGTGTCTGTTTTATTATTCACATTTCGTGTCAATCTTGTACCTTCTCCTTTCTAATGTATAACCCTACATTGCAGTTGCATGTGTACGCCACACTTCGTCCCACCGATGCTGAGGCTGAACAGCAGTATTTTTCTACTCTCGTGCCGTACGATGATCCCCCGATGCCCGTGCTGGATGACATTGTCAGGATTGTTGTCGAACCGCAGTTTAATACATCACACGTTGGTAGTGGAAGTGGCGGCCAGTTAGCGAGGTAGGATTCCGACGACAAAGTCTCCAGTGGAGGAAGTGCTGAGGATGAGACGTCCGGAGATGACGATGGAGATCAGAGTCAGGTAGTGATCGCGACGGTGACGATACCGAGGATAGTGGCAAGGGCGCCAGTGAGCGATCCAACGACGGTGAGGATACCCGCAGAGGACAGACGGGTGCGTCTTCCACACCTCAAACGCCACACGTTTCTTCTCCAGTACGAGGGCCGATGATGGAGACACGACTAGTGGAACATCTGGATCAAGCCTCACCAGAGGGGAGGTGGAAGACCTGTTGTTAGACCAAAGAATCCTCCTTCAAATGCGACTCCGGACCGTGAAGCTTGAAATCGAACGGCACGTGACGTCAAAATGTAAAAAACTTCGAGATTTCTTAGCTACCCTCGTGGCCCCAGCTGGTTCGACCCCCGTTGCAGCCACGATGCCCGCCGATACCGAGGCTGGAGTTTCAAGTAGTTTACCGCAAGGTATGAATCTTAAGTACGTAAATTGTTTGCTTATTAATTGTGACCTATGTTCAGCAGTAGTACAAGTACCTGTAGCTCACATTTGTTTTCATGTTACAATTGCGACTTAGACGTAAATGGAGGAGATATGGAGCCTTGCCCAGACGAGCAGGACATGCGAGCAGATACAAGAACTGCACATTTACAAGGTATGTAAATTATTTATGAGCACATTGAAACTTGTTATTTCATGGACTTTGCATGTTGTGAAAGTTGGGAAAACTAATGTATTGACACAGTTTTCATGTTGTCATCAACAGACAGAGGAGACATTGCGCCTTGCCTGGACGACGAACACCACCCAATGCCTACAGCAACCGACAAACAACTAGGCACGTCGTCGTTTGTGAGGATTTTTCCCTACTCTATTTCATGACATCTGCTTCCCTTGTGACTTCATGAAAATGCAAAACCCTTATTCGTGTCGTGTGATTGTGGTGTCCAATTAGGTGGAGGACAGATCGAGCCGCTGTTTGCCATTCCGGATTTGAACGGTAACATGGCAATTATTTTTTTCATTTTCTTTCGTCCTCTACGCTTCAATTATCTTCCAACTGCAAATGTGGAACGCTATGCAGTTACGTATGTGTTGTAATCATCCGATGGAGGAGCCATGGAGCCCTCACATGCAGCCCCGATCGACAATGCAGAGTTCGAGGGTTGCGACATTACGGACGACGATGGTAAGTTCATTGTCTACATTACTAGTGGATATGTTACGTATGGTAAGTAAAGGTCATTTAGGGTAACTAACTCTCCCCTACTTTTGATTTCTCGTAAACGATCTCACTAAAGTCCCTGTTCCTGCCACTGTAGCCGAACCAGGACACGGATTTCCTACGACGAGACGGCGCTCGACACGGTTGCGACGTCTAGCTCCTACTACCAGAACTCAGTATACTAGGGGTCGAAGCGAACAAAGAACTAAAACGGGAATGAACTGCCGGGAGAGCACGACGATGGTCTTCTAGTTGGTATTGCCCTGTCATCGAATTGGTGGAGGTGGTGACGGATGTTAACTTCCTGGATAAATACATGTTGTTTGAATTCGTTCTACATGACATTTTAAATACTCTTGTGTTGTGTGGTGATACTTGGACACATTTCTCACATTTTCCGTTGTCCATGCGGAATGTCGTTATCGCCTCTTACTTTATCTAACATTTCATTTCAGTATTACTGTTACGATAACTTAACCATGCCTTACGTTGCTGATCGGTACTCATAGTTTTTTTTTTAATTGTGTCATGTATGAGTCTAGTATTTTATTTTTGTTCAATATATCTTCTGGTTCAACATATTGTGGTGTGCTTTATTTATTTTGAAAGAGGTCAAGAAGCTTATGCAACATTTCAATCTGCAAAAATACTTTGTAAGTATTCTTTTGTTGATATTGGATCCAATTTTATTATAGATTTAGTTATATAATTCGACTCTTTATGATTTTGTAATTTGTTTCTCTTTATACCCCGCGTTGCTTATGTTAAATAAAAAAAAATGTCATCATATATCAACTTCTGTCATTTATTGAGACTTAGGATGTATAATATTAACAATATAATCAGGAAAAAATGTGTTCACGTGTTTCTCAAAAAAAATTGTTCCTTTTGTGTTTTATGGGGCTTATCAATACTTTTTCCTTATGAATTCACGGGGTTACCCGAAAGCATATCATCCATCTTGTGTTAATAGAGAAGAGGCAATTTTCAAAGCCAAGTGGATCTGAAATTGTGGTAAGTGTCCGTTTCTATTTCCGCAAGTCTTTAAACGCGTAATTGGAGATAAATAGTGAATGTTATATTTGATAAATTTATGTAATTGGAATAATATTATGGAAACACTTTGTCATAATATGCTTTAAATACATGTGCAAGTATGTGCACATAATTTCTTTGCGTTCTTATGTATGTAGTTATCCCTTTTTTTAATTATATGTAATCCTTAATAAAGTTTTAATTTGGGTCGATATTATTCTGATAAATGCACAATTTCTATGCATATCTATAGTGTAAACATGGCTGTCATAAAATTCTTGCAATAGTTAGCTAGATTAACAACTTATAGACTGAGAAAAATATGTAGCCATTACGTTTTCGTTATGAGGAGTTTTCAGCTCAATAAATGTAATGTGGTGGCATTATTTTGGGAAAACGAAGTATCAGACAATGGATGTTTCATAAATATTCAATGAGAAATTTTTCACCCATAAATTTTGTGTCCTGAAAATGTCTCATTCAAGTATTGTATTCTTCATTTCGTATGCTCCCACTCTGCGTTATTTGATTACTCCTATGCATTTTTGGTAATTCTTGAAAAAGGCAGTTGTGATTAGGGGTCTAATGTAAACCTGGAGGTTGCAATGTGAATTTATAGAGTGTTATTTAACAACAGTTACAAAATTTTGTAATTATTGGCCTGTTTTTGAACTTCGATTGCAGGGATACGAGCTCATTCAGAATGCAGGCTGCCTGCTGTTGCAAAGCAAGGCATTCGAGCACATACATGAGATGCAACGAAAAGTGAGAAAACGTGAAATTTTATGTTCGTCGTTACAGTGTATTATTACCGTCTCGCTGAAACAGTTTATGTGACATTTGTTCAAAACTTACGCTGGGTTGAGCCATATTCGAAATCTATGTACACTATTATTTATTTTGCTATGAAGCCACTCGGCTTGCACTACTACTACGACATATGTCTAGACGAGCGTATTGTAGTGTTTCTATTGCTAAGTAACATGCAATTGCCTTGTCAATATAAGATTGGGTTAACAAGATGAGTCATTACAAGTGTCAAAATCATGACAACCACGGTACAAGTAATTCATAAATCAGTTAATGTGTAAAAAAAAATTCCCGTTCTTCGTCTTACATGTGCGTTGCGATGATGACCCGTAAGTGTGAGAAACTATACCATCACAAGCATGGCAATTGAAAACTAGCAGTTTGATTGAGGAATTTTCTGTTGCAGGTATGGATATTTCCTTAATTGTAGACATGATTAAAGAGTGTTTAAGATCGTACTAAGTATGGAAAAATGGAGGATAAAAGTACACTTCATTTATTCAACCATCACATCAATTGCTTTTCAAATTTACAAAGAGATTGGACTTGGTGGCTGGGTAGATGAAAACCATAATTGCTTCTCCTTCAAGTAGCTTATAAATACTGTGGGGGTTCATTCTCACTTACAAACAAGCTACTTGAAAAGCACTGTGAGACATTCAACTTCTCACAGACACTTATCGTTCCATCAATACTAAAATACGTTCACGTAATGAGTTCTTCCACAGAAAACACCGAACCGTTGAACATCAACGAGCCACTACCAGTTCTCGGTTCATCTCCATTATTTTCAATCTATATTTCATTAGATGATGAGGAAGTTAGCCCTCGTATTGGTAGGAGAACCATTTCCCCTGGTCCTTTTCCCAACTTAGAAGATGTTTCCAACGAGGGTGCGCAATCACCGAACGGTGTGCTCGATGAGGTCTTCAAGCTCGACGCCGGATACGAGGGGGATTCGGAAGACGATGACTGGATGGCGTAAGAGGCACCAAACGAGGTAATTATCATCTCGTCGGACGAGTCAGGTGAGGAAGCGGGGAAGATGGTTCAGTTGTTGTCGACGACGACTGAAGTGACACCCAGAGAATGTAGTGAATAAGTATTGTATAGTTAGGTATTTTGTAGGGATGACTTTGGTTAGACAAAACCAAAAAGTCTACATAAACATGTCCCTAAGATGTAATTCGAGTAGTGTAGTTTGTGTGTTCCGATCCAACTGTCGAGAATTACTGAGACTATCTGTCGGGAACAACATATTAACTGTCGGGCATTAAGGATCATATGTTTGTAAATGGATCTGTATTTTGCAGTATGTTGAACGGGTGTTATGAAATTGTGTTTATCATACACTAACTTTAGTCCACGATTTACGATGATGCAAATGATAGTAAATATCTTGGGGATTGAAGATTACATTTTTAGATGGAAAATAAAAAAACATGTACAGTGTCCAACCGGTTCCGTTATGTTGTTTTGTGTTCCCAACATGTACAGTTTACAATATCTGTGAAGCAGACCGTGAGTGCAGTGCAGTGCAAGGTTCTGTCAATTGTCGAGAATAAGTAACACATCTGTCAGGACCGACATTTTAACAGGGCGGGATGTTCAGTACGTGCTGAACAGAGTCTGAAATTTGCATGTGCACAAAAGGCTGCGCAACATGCAAGAACAGTAATTATCATAAACTTTAAAACATAACTTCAAAATGTTTGATGTAGTACGGAATAATGAACATACAACGTCTATTAGACCACAAATCTCTAAGGAACATGTGATACATTGGGGTTTGAACACGGGTTATGACCAACTCCACCACAACGAGTACATTTTCTGTTAGACCATGCAGACTCGTACCTAGAACGCTTACGTCGGGTTGGTGGTCTACCTGGAGGACGACGTACGAGTGGTGACAAAATAGGAGTACATGTAATTAAGTTCGGAACAACCCAATTCACTTCCTTCGAAACAGGATATATAGCTTCGTTGTAAGCACCCCTCCAGTATCCGATGTGTAATAAGGGAAGCAAAGCTCGTAAATAGACTTCCCTCTAAAGCAAGCGGCACGACTTGCATGAACACATGGCATATGATTTACTTGGAAGTCACGACATGTGCAGGTATCTTCGGACAAGTCAACTATGTCCGTGTCGTTGGATATTCCAACCTACGTGAAGTTGTTTGTTAGGACATGGGCTCGAAGCCTAGTTCCATTTTCGAACGTCGTCTGTAACTCGTTCTCCATCATCGGCGTCAATAAGGTACTGCATTCTTCCGCATTTGTTCGACGTTCGTAAAACTATTTCTGCATAGTACTCCGAATGTGTTCAACCAAGCACTTATCGGTAACGACCGGGCTTCTCTCAACATCGAGTTCAAGAACTATTTGTTGTTGTTTGTCATAATGTTGTAACGGTGTCCAATAAATAGTGCTCTGGACCAAAATGAATAACCTGCTCACTCTAAGTACCCGTGCGCTCTTTCGCTCACTCTACGAATCTGTCCCATGAGTCATTCGAAGTCCTCGACCCGAAAAGTTGGAACAGCTCATTTGACATAAACCACTTCCAGGATTTATTGGTTTCAGCATCCACGATCCCCCATGCTAATGGATAAATCTGTTTGTTACCATCTTGGGCAGTTGCCACTAGGAGTGTACCTTTGTATGGACCCTTCAAGTGACTGCTATTAACACAAATAACGGGTCTCAAGTACTGCATGTAACCACGAATGCTTGCACTAAAAGCTACGAAGAAGTGATGAAACCTATAAAGAGAATCAACTTCAATGTGGGTTATGGTCCCCAGGTTACTCTCTCCTACGACGTGACAGTACGAAGATAATTTCTGAAAACTGTCCTCTGGCGTACCATGTAGCATATTTAAGGCATGGAGCTTCCCCCTACGTGCTTTGCTATAACTGATTTTCACACCAAACTCACGTTCCATATCACGTACAATATCAGTAGGATGATATGATCGGTATGGAGTATCCAATTTTCCCAAAATGTGCTCCATAATTACAAAACTAGTGGCATGCCGATGTGCGTTACGACGAAAATCAAGGGAACATGTGTGAATTGTAATGAATTTACGGATCATGAAAATTGCAAATTGCTTGACAATAGAAGCACGTAGTATCCACTTGCAATTATCATCACACAGACAACTGTTGACATTTTCAAGCTTGACCTACTTACCTGAAATTGGAACTTCTCTTGCAAAGCAAGTACATGAAGCTTCGAGTACAACTGTTTCTTGCTAAATAATATTTGCTTCTCGACGAGAACGGATGTATTTGCAGCTGTAATCCACTCATCTATGCACGAAGTTCTAGAATTTGATAACATTGTCTCGTCAATTTCAGCAATAACATCACCATCTATACCATGTAATGGGTTGTCTGAGTGGTCATCGAATGCTGCAACCTCTATACGGTCAATTGGAGGTTCGGGTGCTTGGGTCTACGACACATTGTGCTGATGATTGATCTCGTTATGTTGTACATTCTGCGGACATTCCGTTGGGCCGAACAAGTTCCCTGCACAGTTTGCATCCGTTGCCATATCAACACTCGGGAACTCGATTTCCAAAATAGTGACGCAGAGTGCGGTTTCCTTATGAACAGATATGTACCATTGTAAGTCCTCATCGTCGCGTATCTCTGCCGAAGGTATATTCAAGTTTGGGACTTTAAACTTCAATTTGATTTCATTGCAGGATTCAACGATACCAAATTTGTCTTTCAACCATAACACAAGTTCTGCTACGGTAATACTTCTCGATGCTAAAATGGAAGTGGTTTTGTCCCCTCTCCATTTCCATTCATCATCCAAGTGAAAGAAATTTCTTCCATGCGACACGATGAATCTCAAATCATGAGTCATACCCGAAATGTTGAGACTGCAAAAGTGAGAATTCTGCACATTCATATGTCGACATTTCATAACATCAAATTGGCACATGAGAATACTTAGATCCATGTACTACCAAAGATATAAAAGGTTAACAGTTTTCAGGTGTCGAAATCGACAATTAAATTTTCTATCCCTACAGTCACTAAGTGTCGAGTTCGACAATTAAAATGTCTAACTCGACTGTTTCGAAGATACTACTCGACAGTTCAACTGACATAACTATCGAGGAAGATAAATATCATGTGTTTCACTGTTTGAAGATTTGATTGAAAATATTAAAGGTCACAATCAATTCTCAACTACAACATCACTGTATCTTTCTACAAATGAAGAAGATATCATTCGATGCTTCATTAAATGTGGAATTAAATATGGAATCCTTCACATTTTCTAAAGAATATTTGTATTATTTTTCTTTCTAAAATATACCAAAAATAAAACACATCAATGAATAAGAGATTGAAAAGAGTCATTTAAATATGATCATGAGTATTGAACATTTAAAGTAGTCGAGTATGACATGAGAAGAATTTTTTTCTACTAGCTCACCTTTGAAATTGATCAATGGCTTTCATTGTTTCCTTGTTGATGATGGAGTGGAGATGATGAAGAAGAAGAAACTCTTACAATTCGTGTGTGTGTGTATTTTGTAAAGATTTCACCCCTTTTTTAATCAAAAAAATCATATTATACAATATAATATTGATATCTTCAATGTTAAAATTAAAGAAAAAAATTAATCACATCATACCATTAATTGCATTCAAATCAAGCATTTATTGCTCCAAAAAGGTGTTCAAGGGTAAAGTGGACATTTTGTAGGGAAAATTGACATTTTTGGAAAAAATTGGTGAAAGTCAAAAATTTTTTTAAACTTTCAATTTTAGTAACGTTTGTGTAAATTCCCCAAAGTCCTATTATTGTATCAAAGTAACAGTCTACGAACCTCCCTTTTTCTGTCTTGGTTAATTTTTCAATTGCCAAAGTATGAAAAATGAAAGGTTTTCAGATTATAAAAGCTACGCAACACTCACCACCTCTCTGAGTTTTGCACCTGCAAATACATATCTAATGTCAGTACGGTTGGTAATAGAACTATAGTCTACAGAGGGTTCTTTCTAAGAAAGCTCACCTATTACATTGTGCTCGAGATGCATAATTGTGATTATTGCAATGTCACGCCACTGCTTTGCCCTGCACACTCCAATAGATGGTACTCAGTACATTTTAAATACAATTATTGGCGAAATAACAAATTGGAAGTTAATGCTGTTAGCATGCATGTTTGTCTCGATCTAGCACTGTACATTGACAAAATCATTGCAATAAAGCAAGCAAGGAAATATTCTAAAACAAACTGTTCACGTTCACTTTCGATAAAACATGCACAAAATCTTGTGTTTACATTTGAGGAAGAATGTCCAAATCTTACCCTTTCCCGAGGAGAATAGGAGCTGCTGGTACACGTGGCACTTGAAGGCTGACTTGCAAAGTTGTAGGAATAGCCGAGCTTTCACTGGGTATAGTCGGGTATATAATATTAGGCTTGTTGGTGTTACATCCCAGCATTAAATCAAACCCCGGAACTGATTGCTGCAGTCCGAATGTCGGAGTTTATAAAAATGAAAGATGAAGTGTCAAGACGAAATAAGATTAACATTCACAATGTCAATTCCATTCCAAAAAGTTGCTTGTCCTGCATTCAGTTGTTTATTATCCCAGTTATGAACAATTTCTTCAGATGCCAGACCTTTCGTTCCAATAGCTTCAACACAAGAAGATTACACAAAATCAGTGACCCACTCAAGTCATTGGACCCATTCCAGACATCAGTGTCATAAAATTGCAGTTTTTAAATTTTATTTACCAAACTAATTACAGTTTAAATTTTATTCACCAAACAAACAGGTAGAAAGTCTGTTTGAAAGAAAATATTTACAAGATTTGGCACTACATGAGGGCATCTGAAACCAAATGATATTATAACAAAATAGAATACACAGGTTGGAGGATATTTAATCAGGGTAAAAAATTCTTGAAATCGGGAAAAGCTTTAATCGTCAATTTTAAGATAAGATAACTTCACTGGGATGGAAGGAATGGTGGATACCTACAAAAACTTAAATAAGTTCAAGTGATTGAAGGGGTGATGGAACAAAAGATCACCAGTGTGCTGCTCTCACAAAAATAGAAAACGTTTTTCCCCTAAGCAACCGATCGCAGAATATTCTTTTCAGACAACAAATAGACAAACTTCGAAATGATATCCATCCATGAACAAAGGAAGACTCAGCGTCTGGACATTAATTAGGAGTTCATCATTGTTGGATATTTTCCAATCAACAAGAGTGGATACTAGTCTGCTTGGAATCAAAGGCGAAAAGGATAAGATTGACTAAGAAGCAACTAGAAAGGCTTCTTCGAAGAAAATGAACAACACTTCAATATCTTCTATAGTAGATGACACTGGACAACTGTGCTACTAGGCTTTATTAACTTGAGTCCTAAGAGAGTAGAGAACTAGTAATTTTTGGGGTATTTTCATCTGGATACTGAACAAGCTGAATTTTAATAAATTTGGATGCAAGTGCAACTTGAGGCATAGGTGCATGGCATGTTTTGCACTGTAAACGCAAAAACAAACCTCAATGAGAACAGTAACCCATAGACAGGTAAAGTTGTGGGCTAGGAACCCTCTCTCCCATGCAAACACTAATGCACAAGGTGAGGAAAAACACTGCTAATATGGGCCCAAGTAAGTTAATGTTGTACATTTTGTGGCTGAGGTGAAGTGAAAATTACCAGAAATATATAAGATTAGCCTATAGGTGAGGACTGCAGATAAATTAAAGAAAACAAAACCCAACAAAAACAAAAATTAAAGGAGGAAAAAAAATAGAGAGATGAAAAACCATTATTATTAAGGCTCCAGCGGATCCTACGTGGCTAGCGAACCTGGGCCATGATTCCACGTCACTTTGTTCAAGAGGCAATTTGGCCGAACCCTCGTGAAGAGACCGAACTTATATGAGACGCTGAACTCATTTGACAGAGTTGACGCCATATGAAGAACCGAACCCTCGTGAACAGAGAGGCTGCAAGGGAGCCTATCAGGATATCTTTTATGCAATCCTTTGTATGTGATTGATGTGACAATTACTGCTACCGTCGCCCTACCCAGTCAATTGTCTAAGCCCTATGTCAGAATTATGGACATCAAAATGGTATTAGTATTTAATACTTATAATTGATTGATACCTTTGACACACGGATAAGGCCATGTATACTTTCATCCTAGAGCTGACATTCATCATATTCTACTATAAAAGCTCACACAATATGTCATTTCAAAAATAATGCAAATTTAGACTCTCAAACTATAACTCTGCTATCCTTGTTGTTATTATTATGAAATCTCCCCAAAGCCAACCCCTTTTTACCTTGAACACACGTGTCTAAAGTACCTCACATAACAACTACCTCAATTGATTTGACTGTCGGAGTGTGCGCGACCAACTCCATCATCACTGGAGGAAGCCACATGTGGTTAACGGTTTATTCAAGTGTGGGGAAACCATGCTTACATGGACACGGGAGGTCTTGGAATATATTGGCCACATTTGAGATACAAAATTCGAGGTCAACAATTTCTTCTTTGCAAATAAACAAATACCCGAGCTTCAGGTTTCAGTTCTACTAATCAAGGATTGCCTACCAACAAAACATAGAAAACCAGAAAGATAAACAAACAGGGTAAAAAAATAATTAATGACTCATCAATGAACCGTCAAGCAATGCGAGTTCAATCAAGAAAATGAACTTCAGATTCGGAAAAATTTCCAAGATATAATGCAACATAAAAGGCAAGTCATTATATCGAAGCAACTTTCGGAAGCAAAAATGACATTATAGTTCCACTGATCACTGGCAGGTATCAACGTAAGCAGAATTCCGCAGTCCATTGATAATCATATGTAACACAATCCCATGTGCGTCTTCTAGTGAATCAAATATTTATTCAAACCTAAATTAACACCATAAAGTTAAAAAAAAAAAAACCACATATATCATACCATACTCACCGGTGCAAATCCAATCGCCGATCCGGGGGAGGCATTTGGAATCTGCAGGGGTCTTGTAATCGACAAGAAGGCGCGGCTGTTTGCATCTGTTACAGAAGGTACTAAAAGCGTAATTTCTGTTGCGGCAGCCGCTGCACTCACAATCCCCTTCTCTCCACCACCGCCGCCACCGCCTGCTTCTCCTCCGCCCATCAGTTTCCTTCAGTTCTTTTGAGATTTTAATTGAATATTTGCAGTGAGGGAATCAGCAGATTTCCAATTTCAAATAGTAGTACCAATGGGAAATTGGCAATTGAATCATTGGATGGGGAGAATTCATTTTGACTCTTATAAATTCATTCGAAACAGACGTTCATTACACATTTTCCGCCATCCACAGACCATAATACACGGCAATAAAATGTCGAAAGAATTGCAGTCGAGGTCCCAAAAATTTCAAATTATTACAAGCTACACTCAAACCTTTTATTATTTACGGGAGTGCTGTCAACTAAGATTTTAATGAATTTGAAAGGATTATGAATTTTGTGAATTTGAATAGACTCTTACAAATTTCATAAGAATCTCATTAAGTATGGTAAAATATCAAAAGATTTGCTTATATATATTTTTAAGCTGGAAATTTATCCAAATCTTTTAAAATCTTTCTATTTATTAAATCTTTATAAATCTACTAATTATTGAGAATATCTAAATTTTAAAAGATTTCATAAAAATCTCGACTGGGGGCACATAAATTTTAATGGATTTCATTAAAATTCAATAAAATAATCTCAATTGAAGACACCTAAATTTATAATGACTTTTAAAATTTATTACAGTCTCAATTGAAAACACCCCCTTATCATATACGGAGAGGTACATACATAATTCCTGTTCCAAGAAATGTTGTACTCCACATTACAATTTCTAAGCCAAATGAGTTGCTTTTGGGAAGCACTCAAATTTGCAATCCGCTTTTGGTAGCCAAGAGGCTGCGAGGTCGTGCCACTGTATAGGGATGTCAAAAAGGCTCGACGGCCCGCAGCATGCTCGGAGCAACCGAGCCGAAGCTTGGGCCCGAGCCCGAGTCGGCCCGCTAGCCCAAAAAAAAAAAATTGAGCCGGTTCGAAAAAGCCCGAGTCGAAAGCTCGGATCGAGCCGAAATTTTTTGGCCGAGCTACTCGGCTTGGGCTCGTAAAAAAGCTCAACAATTTTAACTGAACCGAGCTTGAGCCGAAAGTTTTAGACTCGGGCTCGACTCAGTTCGACTCGTTGACATCCCTACTACTATATGGTGGCAGTAAGTGAAATAAAACTGGGAACAACATGTTAAAGAGAAATTTTAGTCATGGTTGAAAATTTTGAAACATTTGAAAGGGGCGTTTCTCCATTTCAGTTGTACTCGATCTCTCTATCAAAGACTGCAAAACGATGATTACATGGTTGATAAGAATTATTAATACCATAAAAATATTTTATTTCTATTATTTTTAATTTATGTTACATCATGCTTTTTTCACGTAAATTTGATGGTTACAAGTGAAGGAGTCAATGAGATGGAAATGAAAGTCGCTAACTTGTTTACTAGCATTATTTACTTTTTGGTCATTGTGTATGTTGGTGAATTAAATTTATTAGACAATTTTTTTGTGTTGTTTCAAACATTAGGAGAATAGAAATAGTTTGTTGAATTGTGAGAACATTGAACAACTTAATTATGATATGGTACCTAATCTAAGCAAATCCAAAACTAAATAGAAACGAATCGATCCAAATGGTTTGATTACATTATTAAAGTTGGACTCGACTGTTGCATTTACAAGATACCAATAATTCTTCCACCTCCACATCATTATTTTCTCCATCAATATAAAATTTCTCTTGCCATTTTTGCTAGATGCCCAGTAAAAATAAATGAAATAGCATAGTATTGTTGGATTCATAAGTTAGATTTGGTTCTCAGTGAAATCAGATTGAAACCTAGGCGTGGCCAAGGTTTCAATTCTTATATTATGGATACTTTTATTTATGTAATAAATATTCATTTTTTGTCTTTAAAACACCCTCTTACTTGTAGCCAGATTTTTTTTTTTTTATCATAGACTTGGCAAGTGAGCAATGTTCGTAATGGACATTATTGTGACTTGAAGTCAAGACCGTTGTCTTTTGATACTAATACTATACATAATTAATCACATCATTTAAAAGTTTGAGTTACGGGAATATATATACATTAATTTATTTCAATTTTTTTCTTCAACATTCCCTTGTTTTATTAATAATTTTTTAAAGTAGAAATTCATTTTCAGCCCAAAAAAAAGGTGGGGATAGGATATTTCAACAATGCAGCTTCCAAATCATGTATTCCAATTTCTTCCCCATACAAATCCTATTTTCTTCACAACAAAGTCTTTATATGCTTCTGCGATGGTGGGAAAGAGAAACAAGAGAATTAACTCACACTTAGGAAAAAAAAAAATCCATCGACGGAATTTTCCGTCGCTGGTGCCAAAATGCAAATATCCAGTCGATAAAACCTGGGTCAGAAGCCAGCTACATGAAAGGAGGAAAACCAAATCACCATCTCCTCGGTTAACTCTTCTCTTTCCTGTCTCTTCCCTTCATCCTCGTCGACCGCAAACCGGCACACCGGGCATGTTTTACAGCACGCGTTTAACCATCTGTCGACACAAATTTTATGAAACTCGTGGAGACATGGCAGTGCACGGCGTTCTCCTCGGCTTAAACTCGACAAACAGACACAACACAACGTCGTAGCCTCCACATTGGACTCATCGAATCGAAACCCTATTCTTTCCTTAATCAAGTTTTCTTGATTAATATTGGAATCAGCAATCTGTGGTTCAATTCCATTTTTTCTTCTGAGACTGAAGAAAGTGCATATGGAGAAGATTAATTTCTTGAAAACCATTGATATATTAGACCAATTAATTACATCTCTGTTAGAGCTTTATTAAGAATTTTACAAGTGCTTGCCGGCAGGTACCTAATAATATGTCACTTTGTTGATCAGTTATTTTGCGTGGTTTGAAAGGTTGGTTGAGAAAAAATTCAAGACATCGAGACTTCAACACATTGATTCCACTTGAAAACAGACTCTTCACCATTCTTTAAATTTCTTTTATTATAGTTCTTTCCTTTTTTAAGGGGAAAATAATAATAATAATAATAATAATAATAATAATAATAATAATAATAATAAAGGCGTCATTGAGTTCTCTACTCTATCAAAGACACGACTTGTATATGATATTGTGCATGAAACATGAAACATGAAACATGTCCTCCAAATTTCTACTCGACCGAGAGATATAAGTGGCAGATTTATTTCCTTGTAAAGGATAAGAATTGGTGGTACTTTTGAATTTACTATGCTTCTTGTGAAGGATATTTTTAATATTTGTTCACATTACAACCATATATATATGTCAAGATTCTTAAACTTTAAGCGATGGTGGTAGAAGATGTGTTTGCACCATAACAAATTTATTATTGGTTCGATTGATCATTAGATGATGCTTGGTTGAATATGTGCACTAAGTAATATAGTAAAGAATTCACCAAATTATCCTATTGGTAATTAGATCGTGTTAAAGCTAAAAATGATGGGCGCTTTTTGATCAACTTTAAGGAGTACAAACTCCTTATAAAATGAAATGAAACGGTCAATCTAGTCAACATTTGAAGATATGGGATGCAACGGTTGAAGACCTTCTGTTGCTAAAGTCAGCAAGGTAGTAAAACTTTTGAGCTTACTTTTTTTTTAAGGAAATGACCCCTATAAGGGTTTGGAGGTTCAATATGGTCCCAAATACTTCAATCAACTGTGACATGACATGAGAACCACTCAAGTGCCTTTACTTGATTGCTATTGGTCAATGTGGGTAGTATCTCAGATTAATCTTGCATCTATATTAGACTCCACGATTAGGTTGTCTAATCCATGTCGCTTATTAAATGGTTGATGACATATATGGCTAATTCTATTACAAAATCAATCATTAGTTCAAGTCTTCTTCCTTAGTAACTAAACATTCCATACCCTTGGTGCTTATAAATAGTAAGTTCCAAGGGATGCATAGATAAAAATTTACTAGTCTTAAAAGAAATGTGTAAGTAAATACAGAATTTGACCCTTCTTATAAGCTTTGCTAAATATGCACTAAGCTTATAATTCAAGAGCGCAGTTTTAGCCTTCAATTTTCCAATACAAAATTAATGACTTGAAACCGATCGGACAAGAATTTATCGAGATTGGGTTCGAAATATTGGAACTTGAATTATTGAGTCCATCGATCTTTAGAAATAGTTCTAAAGCCTGTTTGGGAGTGATTTTGAGAATTGATTTTTTGACTGTTGGAAGAAAAGTGGGATCCACTTGTGGAGAAGAAGTCAAATATGACGGCTGGAATAATGAAATAACGATCAAAAAATCAATTTTTTTGGTAAAAAAATCGCTCCCAAACAAGCCCTAGTCCTCTAAAGCTACAAACTCAAACCACTAGAAATTTCATTTCATGTAAAAGAATCCCTGTAGCTAGTACAATTTTAAAAGGACACTTTACAGAATGGTGAGTTCGAAAACACAATACAAATTCCACATGAAGCAACTATTAACCAACGGCTAGCTACTAACTCGACAAATGACTTCTGTACAACAAACAAGTTAACATATATTCGAAAATTCAGGTATTCAGGATTCCATGTATTGGAAAGTTGGAGGATTCGTTTTTATCTCATCATGACCTGCGAGTTGGGATCATAAACATGAGAAACTGATTCAACCTAGGCTTCTATACTATGGGAGAAAACTAGCATATTTTCCATGTTCAAAATAATTGAAGTAGGTTTGTACTGAATGCAATACTATTTTGAGCAGATATATACTCACCTTCAACTCCACGAATCTTCACTTCTCGCCATTCTTGGACGAGGGCACAGCAGCAGCACATCAAATGGGAGAGAAAATCGTCAAATAAGCCACCCTGTAAAGATAGAAATAGGGTGTCCGTGAAATCTACTCCATGTTAGCCCTTGTGAGTTTAGGAATAGTTACAGCACGAAAATTCTCTTGGCAAATGGTAATCTCTTTACAAGTTCTCGAAAGACAAGTTTATTTTTTTTTGTTTGTTTTTATTTTCTTATTTTTCTACAAAATATAGAATTTGATTCCAGTGTGTATTCAATGATTTAGTTGTCAATTTCTATATTTTTTTTTTCTTTCGGAGGAGTCTTTTCCTCGAATTGATAAAGTTCATCTGTCGAGTAAAAGTGCAAGAACAATAATCTGAGCATTGTTCCTCATAAATTTGGGGTCAACTCCCTAAAAGTTGAATAAGAATAAAAATATGTTATAAAGTAATAAAGGAATCACCGTGATGTTAAGCGTTTTTCGAAGCTTCCTTCTGATGCAACATGTATAACAGCAGCACGAAAATACCAACGAATAAGCCATCAAGTCGTTGCAGGCTTCTGCAGAAGCTGCACACCAAAAGCATCATTAGTTTCCATGTGACTCATAATTTTTAACGATTACATATTATACTTTGATGTCTAGTGTCGTTATAGGAGACGAATTAATAGAGAACCTAAATAATTCAATGAATCATCCATTACAGTATTGTCCTTAGACAAAATATGAATGCAGGAAAACCTGATATAATCAAATAGTTGGTACATAAATTTTATGTTTGAGGCGACCATAATATTATGTTTAAGAATTGCAACCGAGCAAAATCATAGGTAGAATTGCAAGTCTTTAAAGCAAGCTTGTGAATTGGAGTTAAAAGGTAAAAAATCACTTACAGATGTGCCTGTTATTCGCCACTGAGGCGACTTTAGAAAATGTGCCACAAGGAAAAAAGAAAGTTTTTATGCCTGCAAAAGCATATATAGTCTGCTGAGAATTCGTCTGAGCATGTAAAAGTACAATAGTAATATTCCTTGTGACAAAGAACATGGCTCTTTCATGTAATAATACAATTTTTTGTATCATGGTGAGGGTGAGAGAAATCACAGGTACATAAAATCTAAAAAAAATTCAGCAATAACAGGAACGCCCAATCTCATCATCTAAAATTAAATTCTTAATAATACGTTGTTCATCTCTAGGTGAAATCATCTCCACCAAATTCACATGATATAACCAATCAATAAATAGTACTCTACGTACATAATTATGACACTACTTCCACAGCAGGGAAAACAGGATGAGCACACTTATTTTATCATTCCTCCCACTCATTTTCCTACAAGTTCCAAATTCACTTGCTCATCTCCAGTGGTTCATCGTTTAAATTACTCATTATAACTATTGCACCACCATCATTCTCCCATTTTGACCTTATCATTTGACTTTGAGCAATAATCAACGCAGAAAACTTTCTTAGAACAGGAACATGGCAAAGATATTTATTCTGTATTTATCCTTAGAATGGAAGTTCCTCCCAGGGAAAGGTCCCATTCCCAAAATAAATAAATGATCAAGTGCATTCATAAAACATCTAGTGTGTGTGTGTGAAATTCAATTAATCCTCTAGTTTATGAGAATTCATAAATATGAAAAGCTTACAGTTTCATTCCATGTAGTAAACAAATAAACATGGAGGAACATACACAGAAGAGGTTCCGAACAGCAGCCGAGTAAATCCGAATGCCATTCATCAAAGAGATGTGAACCTTTAGAAGACAGCAAATCCTTCCCAGAGGAAACTGAAGAAGTGTTTCTGCACAGAAGAATAGACACATAACCAAAGAATTCAACATGAGTTACTTGCTGGTGGGAAGGCTAGAATTCTGAAGTAGATGCTTGTTTTTGTCACTTTAGGAAGTTGTACAGTAGAAATCATAAATTTAAGTATCAATTTATCAAAATGAATTAATGAATCCCTGCACCAAAAACAAAATATTGATTTTCAACCCAAATTTTGCCTATAAGTGCAGTAACCCTATTAAATACTATGGCTTGCATTATTACGAGTATATGAATCATTAACATTTCCAACAGGAAAAGTTACATCAGAAATTATAAGTTAGTTATAGAAGTTTGATTCTACAGAATGGAGTTATATTTAGTGAGAATAGGGGTGAATGGTCATAGAGAAAATTAACCTCGAAGTTGCCAATTTCTGGTCACTCTTAGTGTAGTTATCATCATAGTGTCCTTCCTCACTATTGACATGTACATAATCCTGATCCACCTTGGACTCTTTTATGGGAGAACTCTTATCAGGATACGGATAAATTGCAACAGCTTCTGCAACATCGAGCAAGTGCTGGATCATTTCACAGTGGCAAACATCTAAGTTAGCTTGTGAATTTTGTAGTTCTAGTTGAAGCTTCTCGTTTTCCTTTATTATTGCCTCGTCAATGGGCAAGTTTGGGTACGAACAAGAAAGGGTTTTCTTCAAGGCAATGGTATCCTTTCGGGAGGGATCAGGTTTCAGAATCAAATCTTGCACCTTCCTGTCTTCATCATCCAATGTATATTCGCATTGATCCTTTTCAATCATTTCTATTCGTTCCTGATATAATGATAAGTCAGCATTAATCAACTTCAAGAGAAACATGAAAGTGTTTAGATAGAAATATAGAGATGTTTCGGTCTCAACGGTAAGAGGTTATCCAGGTTTTCTCTGGAATTATTTGAGATATATTACAAACCTTGGCAAAATTGAATGCAAATTACCGAGAAAATTTAATTCATGGCAATAATATAAGGTTTTTATCTCTAACTATATTTTTGAGCAATTCATATTTCTTGATTTCACTTGATTACTGCAACTACGCATGGTACAGGAAACATTATAATAATAGTTGGCACATGAAGAAGTATACAATTGCTAAGCCTAAAACAGTAAGTAACATAAACTAAATTCATCAGATAATCGAATTTTTCAGGCTATAAAATTTATGCGGACATCCATTTATTATTTATTTTTTATTTGGACTATTAGTTATATTTTATTTGAACTATTGTTTATGTTTTCGTTATTGGGCTTGTTTAGTGGGTTTTGCCCAAACCCTTCTCTTTAGGGTTTGTGTTCTGCTATTTATTTATGTTTTGTTTCTCATTTGAGACAGTTGATGATGAATGAATAATTATTTTGGTGGCTTATGGCGCATCCCTCCCCTTCTTCTATTGAATTCTTCTTCTATCTCCTTTCTTAATTCTCCATTCTTTCTGAATCTTTCTTCTATTTCTATTAATCATCCTATTGGAGCTGCATCAAATTTGGTATCAGAGCCGAATTTTGGGTACTTTCTTTTACAATCCAAAATCTCTTCTTTTCTCCCAAATTTTGTTGAGACAGCACAAATTAAAAGGATTTTGGTAAAGGCAGCAATTTTATTCTTCAATTTTCAAAGTTAGTTGAAGAAAAAAAAATTGTGTTACTGTTCATGGGTACTATTCACACCCGGATTCCAAATTTTTGATTTTTATTATGTAGTATAAAAAATAAAAATAAAAATTAAAAAAAATTCTGCTATTCAATTTGATTGATTTGCTGCTTCCTTTTGCATTAAAGTTGTTGTTTCAAACCCTAGCTTATATTTTTTTTTTTTTTCAATTCCATATATTCTAGCCCAACATATATTTCAGCCCAACATAATTTTCAGTCTAAACTCAGCACATATTGAACACAGCCCAAACCCACGTAACCCACTAATTCGTAATCCATAGACTCGGTCAAGCCCATATCCCTAACCCAATTACAGCAGCCCATTGATTCATTATTCCAACTCTATTTATACTCCAAGCCCATAAGACCCAATTACCATACAAACCAATTATCCAGCCCACACCCACATTAGCCCATTACACCAATCATCGGCCCAACTCACAATACCCGGCCCAACCCAACTCTTATCTCACTACCCAAATCAATTTCCCCAACCCGAGCCCTAACTCATCCTGTCACTCCCCACGACCAGCAGCTCACCCCGTCAATACCCACGATGTCCAGTCGCCCGTTCCCTCCTACCCGTCACCGTCGCCGACTTGCACCCCAGTCGGACTTCACCACTTAGTCGGCCGACCATCAATCGGCCGGCCATTGCTTATTATCCCAGAAGCCGGCCACTTCTCGCCATTTGTGAACTGCCATTGCTCATTATTTCCATTAGCCAGCATCTACAGTTTCAGTCATCGACATTCCAACAACGCCGAAGCACCACTCATCTTTCATTCACATATTGCCGCCCTCCTCACAACTCACAACAATATTACAGAGTCCACCGTGAAGAGACCCATTTATTACCCAGGCACATTCACGCATCAATTCCTCAGAAGCCAGGCCGTCACAGTATCTACGTCGATTGACCGCAACTGCCCTTCCGCCGACAGCAGCATCATCACGGGTGACCCACCACTGGCCCAATTGTTCAACAACTTTCTTCGAGGATTACAGCCAGCCACCGACTTCATTGATCAAGCAGTTTACTGTCTCTACTACCAAGCAGCCCATTCAGTTACACAGAGGTTTCTATTTCAGCATCTCCCCAATTTCAGTGAAGCCAACAATTTAGAATATGCAATGACTGTGAGTTCAGGAGTTGGAGACATTTGACATAGGCAGATCAGAGGCCCAATCGTTAGCAATTCAGGCAACTAGACTATAGGGAGTTGCTATCTCCTAATTCTCATTGGTTTATACTGTTGTTTTATTTTAAAAGTGCATCACTTAGATTCTTTGTGTTGCTGTTACTATCACAACTTTGGCCTCAAACTTCACTTGACTGGAATCACTCATTGAATTGACTTGCCATTGTTGCCCCATTTATCTCACTGAATTGATGTGCCATTGTTACCTCTTTTATCTACCTGATTGGAAATCTTGACAATACCATTTGATCTTGACAAGCATTGGACCCTTGCTTTATTATTTACAAGCATCAGCACTATTAACTTGCATTTTTGGAAGGGAAGAAAAGAGAGAGAGAGAATTTCAAATTGATGTTTTAATCGTTGGTCCTTGATGCATATTGGTCTCTCTATTGCATTTCATTTAGGTAGTATTGCTTTGTGTACAATTGCATAGTGGTCGTCCTGTCACTTTACTACTTTAAACATGAACTCCTCACAATTTGATGCACTCACCCGACAAATAGCAACTATCCAAACTCAGGTGATTACTACTCTTGAAGAAAGTAAGGCTTTATCTGCTAATTTGAACAACTTTAAGAAAATCCCTCGTTTAACCGATGTTCATAAATCCAAAGTGTCCCATAATAGACATTATCATCATCATCATAGTGATCAAAAATACTTTCGACCCGATCGTAAGAATAGGGATAGGAATAGGGATCAGATTCATGAGCGAGAACGAGATAATTTTGAAATTCTTACTCAATGGAATGCCCTTAAACAAGGAAATCAATTAGTGACTGAGTATATCGCGCAATTTGAGGAATTTCGAACCAAATGTCATTTAATTGAGGATGAGAGTACGACTTTGAGTAGGTTTAGCCAAGGTCTGAGAGATGATCTTAAGCGCGAGCTTTTCTTTCGAGGTGTCACTACTCTTGATCACGCTTACTCTTTAGCTCAAGATTATGAGTTGATTATTAATACTCCATATGAAAAGCGTGGTCATCGTCGCTCACCCATCTCATTAGCGTCGCCTCATCATA